GCCCTGCAGGCTCCTGCATGTCCCACGCACGCCGAGCCTGTCGGGCATCTGACCGCCTGCCCCAGCAAATGCCGGGTGCGTTTGCTCCCCGCGAGCCGCCAGGGTAGGGCCGTGCCTGGGTGTGCCGCCTGCCGAAACACTCACCCCAGCTGCGTGTTTGCACAAAGCTCCGAACAGATGCACCCTGCTCTGCTTTGACAGGGGTATTTTTAAATCCGCTCCCAACCCTCATCAAGCCAGCTGTTCCGCAAGCGCACTGAAGGGCACTGCCAAAGCCCTGCGTTAGCAGAAGCAACGTACCCAGCAATTTGGAAATAAAGGGCCTCTATTCAGAAGAGTTGAGCAAGGCACTTTCATGGCCCCAAAAAAATGTTCCTGTCTTCTCTGGGCCCTCAGAAGAAATAACGCCATTCATTAGCGGACTGGTAGCCCTCCCCAGGAGAGCTGCACTGGGGAGTTGGGTGTTTTTTGTTTCTTTAACCATGAGGAGCTGGGCTGTGGTGCTGTGACTGATGCCTGTCGTGCAGCCAAAGGACTCTGTGCCTGTCATCTTGGTGGTCAGGTGCTTGTTGCCCAACTTCTTGTAAAACTTCAGCTTGCTAGAGGTGCCTGCCAGCATGGAGTGACAGCTAAAACAAGTGGGTTATATGTTCAGTCATGGGACAATGGGGCTTCATTTCCAAATCTGCACATGAGGAAGAAGCTCAGAGCCCCTACAAGCAGCACTAGCAAGAAGAAAATAGGCAGAAGGGAGGGAGGAGGTTGAGGTGGCTTGGATCACACACCTCAGCCGTGCCTCGTGTGCTGCACCACAGCAGACATCTGAAGCCTCGGAGACGGCCAGGGCAGTGCTGTGGCTTTCCTGGGGCTAAGGCTCAGTAGCAAAACCCTCCCAGCTGCTGCTGGTGCCATACGATGGTGAAAAACAGCCACGGGGCTGTTGTACCAGTGTCAAATTAGTGTTCAGCTGCATGATGCAAGGCAGGACGCTGTCTCGCAGCATGTGGTGGGAGACCCTGTCCCCATCCCCAGTACCCCAGTCTAAGCCAGGTAGATGTGGGTGTTGGATGGGGGAGCCCCCTCTCTGCCGTGGCACAGCTGGGAGCTGGCGCCGCACCCTGGGCATGGGCTTTCCTCATGCTCTTGCCGCTCCTGCTGTAGCACTGCCTGCGGTGGAAAAGGTTGTTTTTACTGTGGCTTTGCAAAGCCACTCACAGCTGATGCCACAGGAAAGGGATTGCTTGTTCGTTTGGGTTTTTTCTGCTTTCACATTCCTGGAAAGAGGGGCCAGCGCAAGGCAGGCCCCGTGGTGCAGGACCATGAGTCAGGAGGGCCGGGCTCGCCGCCTGCCTCTCCCCAGGGCTCTTGGGGGAGCTGGGCCAAGTCCCAGCCTCTTACAGCTGAACCCCACAGCCAAAACTGCTAACCTTGTCCTGGCTTTTCCCTTAGCCTCGTCCCATGTTGCCTGCTCAGCACCAATCGTGCTCAGGACTGGCCTGGACTGCTGCCGCCTTGCGGCCTCACGTGCCGCAGATTGAGGGGTTCCAGCCTTGCTGCCCTTCAGCATGGGCCGGGGTGGCAGGGACTTCAGCTCCTTCTCTTGCCCAAGCCCCAGCAGCTCTCAACAGCAGGGCTGCCTCTGCTGCTATGGGGTTGGACCTTCCACTGTCCTCTGGGACACATCTGCTCTGACAGGAAAGCAAGTGGCCACTTCAGGGCCATCAGCAGGTCCACCACACGGGCAGTAAATGCAGCGAAGTCTCATGGTCTACATAGTCCTTAGCTGCTTGATGCTGTTCAGCTGCAGGCCTTGTGTACAAGTCCAGCGGGTGATGCTCAAGGCAAATGCAGAGTGAGCTCCACACAGAGAGTGTGGCAGGTGCCAAAATGCAAGTTCAGAAATGGTAGGAGGCCATGGAAACCTGTATTTTTATGGAAGAGCACTTAGACAAGAATGGGGAAGGCTAGATAAAATCTCTTTCATGTCATAGAGACCAAAATCCATATCCCCCCCGTCTCATAATGGCCTGCACTCCCAGGCATAAGATGTTCTGCAGAAAGGTGCTTCAAGCCAAAATGTTGAAGTGCTTCTCCTTCAGACAGAAAAAATGAAGCATTTGTTGGCCCAGAGTGGAAGCTTCTTTACTGACCAAACATCACTGCACCCTTTGGAGAGAGGCCTGGGTTCTCTTAGCGCTGCTCCAATTTCCTCGACAAGAGCAGAGCATGCACTAAGAACAAATGGGATCCAGGTCTCCTCTTCCTTGTGCAAGTGTTTTTATCATTAGATTACAGGGCCCAAGTCATTGTTTCCTTCTCATCTGATCTCATCCCCAGAGGGATGCAGCTTAAGAGGCTCAAGTGGTCTCAACGCCCATGGTTCTCGAAGGCCAGAGTCCTGCATCCTCCCCCCATGCTCACACCTGCTGGTGTAGATGCCATTACAGACAGCTGTTGCCGCTTCTAATCAGATTTTTCTCAGTAGCACAAGCTGCCCAAATCCCAGGACAGATGCTGTGGTTCAGAGATTCCTGGCACTCTGCTGTGTCAAGTCAGGTTTTATGTGCAGGATCGTACATCGCACATTGGCAGAGATTCATTCGTGTGATCCAAACTCCCTGCATGCTGGGTGGGGACTGGAGTGGAGAGGCTGCAGCCCAAGCATCCTCCAGCTCCTTTCTCTCTCCAGACTACAATCAGCTTCCCTGTCCTCACTCTCATTAACTGCATCCTGCAATCGCACAGCTCCCCCCAGATATTCATTTCAGAGAAATTGGGAGTTCCTGGTGGGAGCAGTTGCTTAGGCAGAAGAGCCACCTTGACTGAGTGCACTAAAGGAAATTGGAAGTTCTCTTGTTATTTCAAAACCTCCATTTAATTTGGGATGTGTCCCCACTTGCTGTCAAGTATTATTATGTTGCTTAATTTAATCTTCACCATTTCTTTTACTTTTTCTTCTTTCGAAGAGCTAAGCAAGTTGAGCTTGGAGAAGACTCAATTACTTTGCGGTGCATTGGCGATACTTACTTCAGGAGCAGCTTCTTGTACAATGAGCTGCAAAGGACCTGGCACGTGTCATTTGACCGTAAGATCACTCCTTATGTTTTTCTCCTCTCTTGCACACATGCACACACCCCCCTTTTTCACAAGCCCCCCTCACCACTTGCTGCTGCTGGCAGTGGGGAAGGCTGCCTCTGCAGAGCTGAGGCCCATCACCTGCTCCCAGTTGGCCTGGCACAGCCCTGCCTACACCAGCACCGGGGTGTGGGTGCAACCTCGCTCCTCATTGCTGTAGCCAGGTTTTTGACGTCTGCACTTCTGTGTCCAGACTGAGCAGACAGGGGCAGCTCACAGCACTGAGCACCCTCGCAGATACGCTGGGCATGTCTGCATCGGTTGCGCTCACATTGCCAAGGGCAGCTCTTCCCCAGAAATACGCCCTTAGCCGCTTTTTCCGAGTGCAGGCTGGAAGCCCGGTGTTCTCATGTGACTCCAGAGGCTGAGGCAATGGACACGTGTCCGAATTAATCCAGCCCTGGAGACAGCCCCACCTCGGGAGCTCCAAGCACAGCCAAGCACCCTTCAGCTTCAGGCTCCAAACCTCCAAGGATCAGACCGAAGTGAGGAGCTCTGAGGACTGCGATTCTGGAGATGGTCCTTTATGGACCCACAAGAGACCCCTGACAGTGAGCACCACCCACAGGGCTGCAGAGCTGATACTTGTGGAGTGCACTGGCTCTGAAGACAGCACTCCTCTCCATCTGCTGGAACCGGTTGGCAAAGGAGAGACACAATTAAGCACTGCACAAAGTCTGGCTATCCAGAAAGGCAAGAGAAAAAAAACCAGAGATAGAAATAAAGGGTGATCAGTAATCATGCCTTTAATAGCTTGTAAATATATATATTTTTTTTAATTCCAGGCAACTAAGATGTACATTTGTTGTGTGTATCTGCCATTTGAAAAAAAAAAAAAAAACGAGTCTACAATCTGTTCATGTCATCCCTTTTCTAAAGCACATAAATTAAAGTATCAGTCACCCCAATATACAACAGTTTTATGAAGGAAAAAGTCTTGTTCTGTTTTTACAATTCAGTGTCACCTTTTTAAGTGAAGCATTAGCTAGAGTTTTAGCTAGATAACTGCCTTACAACAAACAGGAAAACTCAGAACTTAGGCTGTCCAGAAAAATTCAAGAAATTTCCACTCCCTGCTTTCAAACTCCACTTCCTAATAAAGCATCAGAGTAACATTTTCATTTCCCACTAGAAAATGAAACACCCCAAAAACTCTTCAGACACACCTGGGAAACACTGTTTGGACCACAGAGCTTATTATTAAACTTAAAACATGAACAGTGCAACAATTTCTCCCTCCACAACTTCAGCACAGAACCTGAATTCACATCGGGACCAACAAGGATAGAAAATACCAGACCACAAGTAGCCTGGGGCTGCTAAATAGCCTCCCACACTTGATTTGGGTATCCAGTAAATGCTCTCAGCTTTTGGGACTGTAGCTCCCAAATGACTCACAGGCCCCAGACCGCTCAGTGCGACCCCAGCTCGCACAGCCAGGATTTGAATCCGGATGGGAAGACGCTGAGGACCCTCCTCTCACACTGGTACTAGGGCTCAGCAATTGGTACGATTCAGCCACATAGCTCTGACCACCACCCAAAATTGTTCCCACTGAAACTGGGGACAGGCTTCTTGCTGATTTTAGTAGGTGCAGGATGACTTTAGTAGCATGGGCCTTGACAGAGGGGCGTGCTCTTGCCTTTTTCTCATTGGGGCGTACGTGGGCACTGCGTACCTGGAGCTGCTCCTCATCAGTCTTTGGGGAGCTGGTGGGAACAGCCTGTGCCCTAGCACAGTGTATTTCATGTACAGTAAAACGGGAGGCAGGCAGAAACAGCTTATCTGGCTGATGTCTTCATCCATTCCCTAGCACTGAACAGAAAACCTCTGGTCTAGGGGAAAAGAAAACTTAAAAGATGCAAGAACACAAAAATAAAGTGAAAATGTGACCTTTACTGCTTTTTCATGTCCCGCTGTTTTGACTAAAGAACCCAATCTCTAAGTGCAGCTAACTCCAGAGACGAGCGTACTCCTTCACAGTCTGGTGTGTGTGCAGCACTAGAACTAAGTCACAACTACAGGTGCAGAGGAACAAGGTTACAGCCCGCAGAAGACCTACTCTGTGCACTCACCCACAGCTTGAGTTTGCTGATCAAGTTAAGCAAAGAGGTTCACTCTTGAGCACAAATGAAAATCCGCCAAACCAGCTTCTATTACAGAGAGAGTCTAAACTGACATAAATAATTATAGTCTCGATTAAAGATTAAAAATAATATATTATTCTAGTTTTGGGGTTTTTTTTATTTTTCATGTAAAACCCCTATACTCTTGACATCTAAGAACAGAGACAAAATAAAAACCAGGCACTTGCTGTGCCTTCTAAAGCACTATTGTGGTGTTTAAGGGACACAGAGGAACTTAAGAAATGAGATTAATGCCTGCAGTGGAAAATGAGAGGAGGTCTTCATGCCGTCGGCTTTTTCAAGTCTCGGATTTGCTTAATCAGGTAGTTCTTCTCATCAGTGAATTGTTCGTCATCCGTCCTCTCCTTCTGGAAGTTGCTCAGAAACTCAATTAGCTTGGGCTGGTTTTTCAACAGGATCTCCACAATAGGCTGTGTTTTGTTTGGACTGGCCACAAAAACCTAACATGCAAACAAAACCAGGCACAGCGAGACAGAGGACGAGAAAGAGAGAGACAGGAACATCAGTCACAACATCCCCACAAGTTATTTTCTGGTATCTCAGCTAAAGGTTGGCAGGCAGGCACTCACAAGGTGCTGCACACCTTGTCCCAAGGCACAGAGAGAGGAGCTACAAACAAGTTGGTTCAACAGCAGACAGAGCAACGCGGTGCCCGCATGTGGTATCGCTTCCCTTTAATTTTGCTCTTTGTTGATAAAGCATCTGATTGTAAACCCAGCTGTTGAGAGCAGGCTATCAATTCTCAGCCCCTTCCACAGCCAGCACTTAAATACACAGAAATTAATTATCAGGAGAATGGAAATGCTTTGTGTCACTATTGATATCATTTCCCTACTAAACCAGGCCTAAAATTAGACTTGCCAGCTTTGTTTTGGTTTGGAAAAATATGTCAGAGGCTCCACTTCCCTCTGCCTAATCCATTCACGGGAGCGTGGAAATTTCCAGCAGCAGGACCAGGAGCCCCATGGTTTGCCCATCACAGCAGGAGGGCAATGCAGGGAGGTGACATGAGACGCAGAGACTCCTCTGGCACAGCCAGCCCAGTGCTGCAGGCTCACTGGTTGTCTCAAATACTATTTTTTAAGAATAAACCTAGCTGTGCTTTGCTTTTTCCTTCTGCAAAGCCTAAAGTCACAGAGTTTTCCAGCTCTGAACACAACCCTCTGCACTGTTGCTTTAACATGTTCTGTATCACATGTGCTGGCTGATGACATGAAACTTCAGGCTGGTTGTTAAAGCCAGTGGTGACAAGGGGGACCCAAGGACCTCAGGATGCCACGGAGGTGTGGGCTCTGCGGACATCAGTCACGGCGGACAGACAGACAGGGTGGGGGGAACACACACAGAGCACACCCCCAGCCATCCCAGGAGGAGCTCCCACATCTGGCTCGCACCGAGGTTACCATGGCTGGTCAACAAAACACCGCCCGAGCGCTTGTGCAATGACATAAATAACTCAAGTTATTCTCTACCCGATGAGAAGAAATTAAGGATGGACAGGACTGGAAGATGTCCAGCTTTCCTCCAAGCCTGTTCAAACCAGAATGAAAACAAACATCTGCTGAGAGCACCACATGCCACGTTGTCCGGCCAGGCGCTGGTGGCACCACCGCTTGCCCGACCTCGGGGTTGCCTGCACCAGAGCTGGGGCACCAGGGGCTCTGCTGCAGATGCATTTATCCCCACTGAGATTGTGCCCACATGAAAACCAGGGCCACGTCCATCTGCACAGGGAATTGCCATGTTATGTGATGAGAAAACATGCACACAATGTCCTGAGGGGCTGCGTTACAGCCCTTTGCCCCCAGAAACAACACCTGGTAAAGCCCGGGACAGGATTCAGACTGGACCCATCATTAGGGGTGCATCCCAATGAGGGAATGTTATGTGAGTGGTGTGGAAAATGCCACACGTTGGGAATGTCTGGAAGGAATGAGGCTTGGCACACATCAACAGTGCCACAGTAAGCCCTTCTGGACAGACAGGGAAATAAGACTATTTTTTTTTAATTCCATAAAGGTGAAGGAAAGTATCTGATCTTAAACCTTGGCACTCTGATGCCGTAAGAGCCCGAATCGCTGCCTATGCTTTTGTCTCCTCTGGATCCCTCTGCCTCAGGTGGCTCCTAGAAGTCCCTGCTTCAAGGTATGGTTTCCTCTGGGGAAAGAGCTGCAGCCTCTGCCAGGCTGGGTGAACACTGGCAGACCCCAACTCTTTTACAGAGTTCTCCTTGATCTACTGGCCAGGCTGTGGTCACTATGACAGGATAATATCTACAGTTATTCACACCTTCTTTGCATAGGCCTCCACATCGCCTTGCTAAGAACACCTTGAGCTATAATATCAAATAATTCCTTTTTATGCTTACTTGGCACCTAAAGCTTCCTAAGAGAAGCACCAACAGCCCCAGCTCCCAAGGATCCCTTCAGAGAAGCCACCCTAAAATAACAGCTCTCACTACACTTGATGGACTGTTGATAGCTGTGATTGTTCTGTCTCTGCCTGCAGCATCTGAAAGCAATATCTCGTTTCTTGCAAATAACTTTGATATGCTGTTATTGATGCCTTGGTTCCCCATATGGGAAATAAAGAGTCTGGGGATGTAAATCGCTACTGAATGTACTGTACAGCTTTCCAGTCTGTGCCTTATCTAGGGAACATGAGTCCTGAAATCTCGTGGATACGAATGTTTGGCTCTGGCTGTGACTGCGGCAGTTTCTGCTCTCAGTTTGAGCCACCCCACGATGCAGATCCCCATGGGATGACCCACAGCAGGTCACCACTCTGATGGAGGCCGGGTACTTCCAGGATTTGGACTGGGATAAGGCCCCAGTTGTCTGGACAAGCTTCCTTTGAGAAAAGCAGTCTGTAAGCCTACTGCCAAGGATGAGGAATGTAATCATTATAGATCTTCGTTAAAAGTTTTTTATTTTGAAGTTCAGTTCCCCCTTTGTGACCCTGTGTGAGAAAAATCACCAAGTACAACTGAAAGGACCCGCATTTCTCAGCCTGGAGAAGAGAAGGCTCTGGGGGGACCTTATAGGGATATTCCAGTATCTGAAATGTGCCTATAAGAAATCTGGGGAAGAGCTGTTCACTAGGGCATGTAGCAATAGGACGAGGGGTAATGATTTTAAACTAGAAAAGGGTAGATTTAGGTTGGATATTAGGAAAAAGCTTTTCAACATGAGGGTGGTAGATCACTGGCACAGGTTGCCCAGAGAGGTGGTGGAGAACCCAACCCTGGAGATATTCAAGATCAGGCTTGATGGGGCTCTGAGCAACCTGATCTGGTAACATTGTCCCTGCTCACTGCAGGGGCGTTGGACTGGATGAGCTTTAAAGGTCCCCTCCAACTCAGTACATTCTATGATTCTGTGATTTTCAGAAATAATCTGAATATGGTGCAAATGGGATCCATTAAAGAAGGCCTGATCTTGAAGTGCTGAACATTTTCCTTCAATGAACATTAGGCGTCCTCACAAAGATAACTGAAGGCTGACTCTCAAAATGAAGAGGTCTAAATCATTCTTCCTGTAAAAGCTATCTGGTCTGCAAACAGAACTGGAAAGTTTTAGTGGTAAACCTAGTAAATATCAGCATGTCATACTGGTCCTACAACTAGTATGACCATAGCAAATAATTAAAGAACTTAGTTTAATAGAAGACATCACATCCTGTTTATCTTCCTCCTCGATTAGTTATAGATTATAATCTCCCCCTTGCAAAAATGTCGAACTCGACATTCAAACAGTTCTGCCAGTATCGACTAATCAGCTTCACAAAGCCCAGGATGACGACCACCATCAGACTTCGCTTTTAAAAGAGCCTTCCTCATTCAGAACTCTGCACTGTCATAGAGGAGGTGATAAGTCTCTGAAAACAGAGACCATTATTAGTGCTATTTGGAACATTTCTACTAAAATGAAGTTTAACTGAAGCTAAAACACTTCACAGAGCACTTTGTTTCACCTATGGTTTTATTATGAAGGGCTGCATGTTCTAGAGCATTTAATTCAGATAGATGAGAAAGACAGAGACCCAAAATAGAGTACTCATATTAAAATTTCAACTCCAGAAATAGCTGTTTCAGCACACTTCTGTTTTGTGAATTTCTGCAAAAGGTTCAATGAAAATGAACTCTGAAGCTTCAGAAGTTGACCAAAGTCAAACTGTCGCTCTCTCCTCCATTAAAAGTCATACACTGTATTTCTTCAAACGAATACCAAAATCTCTTGATTAAGAGAATCTGACCTTGTTTCCTTACAGTTAATAACCAGGCAACACCGCCCTCTGGGACTACAGCAGAGCAAAAAGCGATTACAGAGGTTAGATACCCTGGACTGAGTATTTTAAGGCTTACTCTGGGGTCACGCACAATCTTACTGTGTCAGGAAACTGCACGCAGAAGTGCCTTACGGTTCACGTTGCTCATAGCGCAGTGCTTCGCATAGCACCTCTCACCCCTTAAACTCTCCAGCGAAGAAACAGAGAGGAGACATCCCCACAAACGTGGTTTCAGCTTTGTAGCAAGAGGAAACTGTCACTATGGTCAAATTATGTGAGACCATTAGCAGAGCAAGCTGCAGCTCTGTAATGTGCACGAAAGAGAATGGAAAATGAAACTGAGGTCACAAAACACAGTGTACCCAATCTATTTTTAGATTTCAACAGTAAAACACATCTTGCCATATGTCTGCTTAAGAACAAGAAAGTTGCATAATCCCAATTCACCGCTACAGGGTGTTTACCCCAGAATAATCTAATAGTTTACGTGAAAGCTGAGAGAGCTTGTTATCAGCCTTTATTTCTAAGGTTGAAGGAGTACCTGCACCATGTTCACATACGTCTGAAAGCTCTGGTCTCCCCTGCAGGAAAGCTCAAAGCAGGCTCCACTGACACCTGTCACAAATCCATCACAGGAGCCAGAGAGCCCTTTCCAACATTTGATCCTCAAATGGTGCATGCTCAAGACTGGGATCTCTCCACTTGAACTGATGCAGAGAAGAACCAGTGACTCCCAAAACCTGCAACCCGAGGTGACCCCATTGGATTATTTATGGAGGAAGAAAAAAGGGGTGAGGTGTGTTTGCCTTTCCTTCTAATTAAATACTGGCTAATCTTCATACACATATTGCCTGGGACATCCAGGTTTACGAAGCAGCTGCAGGCCTTTAGGATGGAAGAGCAGGAGCTGGAGCCAGGAGGAAGATCAAGCATCTCCTCAGTGGAGAACGGAAGGAGGCACTGCAAGTGGGCACTGTCTTCAATTTCCCACCCAAAGCATCCTGGATGAGCGAAATGTTCTCAGAGCTTGAACGGGTATTCCTGCAAAATATTTTTGTACTACAGGGGCTCATCATGTTCATCTCTGACAGTTTTGAATCTTCAATAATTAGAAACTGCCTCAGGGAAGTAACAGTCATACGCCTTTTTGGGGATCAGCAGGGGCATGGGAGTGTTGGAATCTGGATACTTATGAAACAAGCACTTTTTCATTTCAAATGTGTCTAACTGGTGAAACATCTCAATCGGGTAATTTAAACCCAAATCTTTTGGCAGCTCAGACAGAGAACCAAGTATCTGGTTCTGAGTAGACCTTTGATTTCAAATCACTGTGGTTAGTCTACTGTAATTTCAACCAGGACCGCACAGGTATTTTCCAAGCATAATTTAAAAATGCAGGCACAGTTTAAAATCTATAAGATTAAAGGTGGAGGATAAGATTCCTCTCCCAGTTACATTCACATTGAATTATTACAGCTAACAAGAGAACCAGGCTGAGGGGACCTGGAAACAGGAGACAGGGACACTGCAGAACAGGGCACAACCAGCCAGTACTGTTTTCCCCCATCCTCTTAAATATTTAAGGGTTTCCTTTAGCAGTTCTCAGGAAGTTAGAATTCAATTTAAGAAGTGAAATTGGAGGGAAACGATCTTTTCTGACCTGCTTTACAAGTTCACAATACCATTTTCTGTAACATACCCTGAAACAACCCTGCCCACTGGTAAGAAGATGAATGCTTCTACTCCACCTAACCCAGACCCTCAGTGAGGAGCTAAAAGAGGAGCTCTGCTGCACCTCTAGAATTACTCTGGTATGCTGCTGGTGGTTATAAACAAGCAATTTCCAACTGATCAGGTTCTGCTCCGAGTCTGCAATTTCCCCACAACAAGCACTATGCAAGTGAGCGAGTCTGGGGCACGCTATGGCACGACTTAAATGCTGTTGGTTTGGCTCCTTGAACTGAAGAGACACAATGTTACCACCATTCACTCTGGTTTCCTGGGCACCGCAAGGCCTCAGTGTTACGTCCACATGGTAGCAATTGCAAGTGGTCAAGCAAGGTTGAGCCTACAATATCTCCACTGTAACTGGAAATGGGACACAACATACTGGAAAAGAGAAGGAAGGGAGAAACTGCACTGTGTGGCCTGGTTGCACACTGGAATCCTTTCAAGTTATTCCAAATTCTTTCAAATGCCTCTTAAAATAAGCAAAATCAGCTGTTCCCAAGGCCTGGGCCAGTCCAATCACTAACTCAGGAAGAGCAAGTCGTGTGTCTCATACATACATTCCTTCATACATTCATGGCATTTATTCACAGAGCAGCTAAGAGAGCCCAGTTCTCTGATCCCTTCCCTCCAGAGGCATCTCAAAGGCTGCAAGTGGTCTGAGCCTGACGCTCTCTTATCTGGGAACCGCATACCCCCTGATAAAGAGGAGGAGTAGAAGTTACTCACAGTGGTACAGCTGACTGTGGAGGAAGTCAGCAAGGAAACAGCTTACCAAGCTGCTTATTTCAGGGAGGGAATCTTTTTAATCCTCCTTGAAGCTTTTTTTTTTTTTTTAATGAATAGCTTTTTGGAGAAACTAGACATCCTTTAAGCCTCCACACTGAAGATCTGAAAGCTTTTTTCCAAATCAGAAATGGCAGAAGTACAAAACTCAACAAGTCACCCTGAATTTGTGGAGGGTGATGTAACCCTTTTGCAGCAGCATGCCTTTTGGTGTGGTCTGGTACCTTTCTTAACCATCTTGGGGAAGCATATCCTTACAGGCTCAATAGTCCTCTTCTGAAAATCATTAACAACTCCATTTACGTAGTTTGAAATTAATGTGTTCGTTCCAAATTAAAGGTAGTTTTGCATAATAAAAATCCAACTCACTCTGTGGCCCAGAGCAGAGAACGTTTTTTATAGGAAAACGGAAAGCTTTTCACTTATTATCATTAATCACCATGGGAAAAAAAGGGACACTGGTTAGGTCTGGTAATTGCTTAAGACTGCATTAATGATGACTGAAAAAGGACAGAAGGATTAAACTCAGTTCAAGCTCAGATTTACCAAATCTTTTTAATACCTTTAAAAGCAAATTGTGTTCGCACTGATGTACAGTGCCAGCACCATCTACTTTTAGTCTTAATATAGAGTTTTAAGACTTTTTTTTTATCTTTACTCATAATCACATGGTAAAATTACCTAAGAGTTGAGAGGGAAGGTACCCTAGATACCCTAGATACTACCTAGAAGCTGTGTATTTTGTTACCTGTAGCATCCACCTTATCACTCCTTAAGTGACTACACTGAGTCCAAACCAAAATGATGCTGCTTTAGATCTCACCTGAAGGCAAACAGAAATCAGAGGCTGAGTGATTGAACAGTTTTCAACTAAGACATTCTCAAATGCTGGAAGTGACTGTAAACCCCAACTTTTGCCTTACTTTTCCATGCTTTCTCTTGCCCACCTTGAAAGACACTTTTATAAGGAAAAGAGAGTCTGCCACATCTGCAGCTCATACCAGCTTACCTTGAACACGTGGAATGCTTCAAACTGAATGTTGGGGCTTTTATCTCGCAGCAAGTTCATCATCAGCTTCAGATTTTCTGGTTTGCTGATGTATTTTGTCATGATGGCAAAGTTGTGTCGGTCCAGAATCAATTCACCCAGCAGCTATAGACACAATTACAAAACCCCAATTTTTTTCAGTTTACCACATTATCTTTGAATGCAAAGCAAGCAGCAATGTATTTTAATGTTTGCTTAAGAGGTTTCAATGTCACTGCCTTTTTAAAAATCATAACTAGACTTATTATCATGTAGTGAGTTACTTAATGCCCAGCAATGTGCATCTTCTAAATACTACAGAGAGAGATGCCACATTTGGTCTGGGTGTAACAGAGGCTGGCGTGAGCCAGCTGGGATTGGAAGCAAGTGTTGTGCAGCTGTCCCACGAAGACACCATTTAATTTGGATGTTACATTAACATGCCTATCTGGTCCCATATGCAGGTCATGCCAGACTTGGTGCTGTAGTAGCATCAGACACATCGACTATCATGTTACTCACAAGTTTGTTTTAACCTGCGTTCTGAACCAAAGTACAGATTTGAGGTCAGAGGAAAAATGACAGCGCTTGTTCCATAGAAACAGCCCAATGCTTCACCAGAGATCCAGGAAGTAAAATTCACAGCACGCTCTTGTGCATAGTAAAAAAAGCATCCCCAAGCATGCACTCTTTTTTTGTTAAAAAGTATTTAGGTACTCCATTGCCATACATGCGTCTTGATATTCTGTGTAACGTGGAGTTCATATTTAGAAGGAAGGTGCTGAGAAACTTTACCTTCAAAGATTGTCTCTTCGTTACGTAATTCTCAGAATGAAGGAGTTTTTCATAATCTTCGAAGATCTGGAGTAACAAGAAAACACAAATGCATCAGACTCAGGTCCATCCTTCCTCCTCCCCATCCTTCCCACTCCAGAGGAGCAGCAGATGCCGCAGCAGTGCCACCCTCTAACACTTCACTGCCATGCCAGGCTCGGCTCTCATGGCCTTTTTTCTTGGCTGTTTATCACACACTGAATTAATGCCCAGGAACACTCCTCTTCCAAATACTGCGGAGAGGGATACCACATATGGACTGGATGTAACAAGAGCTGGTGCGAGCCAACTAGGACAGAAGTAACCCAATGCCTGTATAGCCTTCTCTGCTGCCAGGACATGTGGGTCCAGCATGTAACGTCCACCCACTCATATCGTGGTCACGACTTGCTGTGTGATTTAATGCAATATCCCAAATTGGTGACGGTGCATCCCACACTGGTGTAGGGCAAAAGCTCCCTTTGTGAGGGGCCTCCTCACCTGCCTTCAGCACCCTCACTCGTCAAAGCCGTTTGCCCAACAAGGATCACTAGGAGCCAAGCACGTGCTGTCTTTTGCAGGATTGGGTCAAGGGAATCTTGTGGTCAAGAAGACTGAGAGAAAAGGCTACAATATGTTCAAACCTACCTACCTACCTCCTTGTCTACCAAACTAGCAAAAACTCCAACACTGCTGTCCAAGAATCATCTAAAAAAATGCTCACTTCCACAATTTATACTTGAAAATTTTAAAAGTTAAATAAATGTAGAATAGGGACTGTTCCAGTGCAATGTGAAGATTAGCAGAGACACTAATTTTTCTCCAGTTAAGCTACATTTGTGACTCAGCAATTATAAGCCTGATTTTTACTTGACCTTCTTGGTAATTCTATAATGAAAGAAATAGTCTTTGGCTTTTTCACTTTGGCACTGAAATAAAGAATAACTCAGGTAACATGCAAACATAACCCATAGTCTAATTCCATGATCCCTATCAGTCTAATTTTAGTTGATTCCAATGGAATTTTTCTGGCCCACATTTGGTTCAAAACTGAGCCAAAAAATTGAAGCGATAAATGGCAGCAAACTAAGGGACCAGAATAATACTCACACCTCAGTCCCCCCCATTAGGTACATGTAATTTCCAATGATGCTAAAACTTCTTTCAGTAACTCTTCTTTGTCCCAAAGTATTATAAATAACACAGGTATGGCCCTATCGGTGCTGGAATACCACAAAACTGTTAAAAAAATATATATATTTTTTCCCCATTATCTATTTACATACAAAGTTTACAGTTCCATTCACATATGAGGTAAGACACACACACACAGAGGAATAAAACTTAAACATGCAAGGAGTCTGCTTTAGTAAAAGCAATGTTTAGTTTTGCAGTCCTATGTGACTATGTGGAGCATGAAACCCTCTCCTATTGAAAATGCACTTTTTTGCAGCTAAGCACAAACAGATTTTTTAAAAATTCTCCTAGCATTTACACTTACCACATCATAATTTTGTTCCAGAAATTCTGCTACCAACAATTTGTGTCGTGTTAACAGGTCCTGGGGAAGAAAAGAGAAAGGTTATCTGAGAGAGTGTGCTCATCTGATTGTCCTTTGATTCTCAAATGTATTTCAGCATTTTTTACCAGGTCATGTTTTAGAAGGTATTTACAATGTGACTTCTATAGACAGAAAGGCTTTAAAAACATTACTCCACTGTGCATATTGTAGGATTTTAAGGTGAACTCAATTAATGCTAACAGAGTCAATATAAAACTATTCTAATGCTCTTTCTTTGTATTTCTTTTCCCTCTCACCTTTTCTTACGGTTATCGGTCATAGTGCGCAACACTTACAATAAACTGGGGTAGGAAAAAGGAAGAAAGTAAATTAACCCTTTATGGAGGGATCAGCTATGGTCCCGAAGCAGAAAGTGATATACATGCTATCTCATAGCTGGAAATTACGCGAAGTTGGATCAACTGCTATAGCTCATCTCCAAGAATACAAGGAAGAGTCAAATTCAACCACTGTATGTATAATACACTTAATTATGTAAAGCCTGAAGGTTAGGCACCAAGCTAAGCTACCCATCTAGGCTCCCTCTTCAGAAAGGGGTCTCAGGCAGGTGGGATGAATCCCTTCTGCATCTCCTTCTGCTCAAGGTGAGCTTACCGACACAAGCAGTAGCAGACCCTTTAGACAGCTGGCCGAATGCCTCCCATGCTAAAAGGCCAACTAATCCAATTTTAAATTAAAGCAACCTCTTCCACAGAATGGGAACGCTGGTGCTCAGTGACAGTGCTGCACATATTCAGCTCCAGAAGAAATCAAGTCTCTTCACTGGATGAATAGCTATGAAATGAAGTGGCCAGTTTGAGGCAGTTAAGTTTAATTTTTATCTTATTGCCTCTTTTAAAACATAACACTGATGACAATAAGTGCCTGATGAAGTCCATTCAAGTTGATATTCTTTTGGTGAATCAGTTTCTGCTATCTTTTAATCATCTTTTCCTTGGTTTCTTTACCCACAGTCAGAGACTGAAGCTGATGAGTAGCTGAAGCAGATGCAGAGACACATCCTCTACAGCATCACAAATTAAAGAAATCCTTTACATACTAATCCTTTAATTTATTTTTAAAATAAAAAAAAGCAGAGTGCTATAAAACCCAGTACGTTTTAATACATTCCTTTATTTAGCAGGACTGCAACGATAGCAGTTTAAAAGGCTGGGTGCAGCAAACATGATTCACTAACTTTTATGCAGGGCACTTAGGAGGCAACAACAACATTTTTCAATAGGGGGCACAAATGGAATATAATCCAAAGTGAGTTTTTCATAGGAAATCATGAGAGCGCGCTGAGCAGTGGTATTCAATCACCGCTCTTTCCAGCCAATGCTGGTATCCTCCACAGCCAACTGCATCTCTAAACACAGGCTGTTTTCCTCTGCATTTTTACCAGCTCTGTTTCCTCTCTGCAGTGCACCTGGCTGAATTTAATTAAGAAGTGCATCTCCAGATCATCAAAAATTTCAATACTTCCCTACTATAAATATCCTTACACTTTCATGCACATTTAATTAAGCCCTCCTTTGGTGCATAGACTATCCAAGGCTTTCAGCTCTGAACCAGACAACTCCCAACATGGGGGAAACAGAACCAAACACATGAGTTCAGTAATCCAGCCAGCGAGCGATCATAGCACTTATTTTTACAGTGTTAGAAATGAAGCCACATCATGTTTCATGATGCAATCGCTTCCACATCACTTCTTGCGGTTCCAGCTATTCAGAGTAACAGACAAATGGGAGATGAGAAGGACAGCGGGTTTATTTCCAGAACTGACCATGTATCAGGTCAGGCAATTTAAAACAAAAGGGAATTTTTTAAAATGCAGTTTATAGATTTTCCTCAAGCATTTTAAAAGGTGATTTCTGCCCTACGGCAGAGGATGAACTGCCCTCTTACTCCCCTCTTTCCAGTGCACATGAGGATGTAGAAGCCTATTTTTAAATCCTGCTAAAAATACACTCAGATCACAGAGGACAGAAGCAAGTTCCACAGCTGTAGATCTGTGAACAACTTCAATCCCTCTTTTTTTGGGAGCAGTTTGGGGTCCCTGCCACAGGTGAACTGACCCGTGTCCCCATCCTGCCTCCTGGCTGGGGTGAAGACTGTCCAGCACCAACCACTCGCTCTGCTGTCGTGCTCAAAGCAGGGCCTGGGGAAAGATGCAAATCTCTTCTGTCAAGCTGGGAACAGAGTCCAGGAGCACTTTTTCTGACCACAGACAAATATTCTTCTGAGCATAGGGTAACATGCCAGAGTCAGAAGATTAAAATTCAGTTATGCTGCATTTTTATACAGTCCTACACTGTACTTTTACTTGTGTGTTTCTGTGCTACTTCCACTTTCATAACATTTGCCTAATGAACACCGTGACAGTGCAACTTCAAATAATTGAAAGATGGTGCTATTGATTAGTGGATGGTTTGAATTTGTAATCCTGCTCAACTCATTACTGAAGAATGCAACCTTATCTCCATCATGCAAATCTTTACCCCATTTGGTAGGTTAGTAAAATCTGTGGCCAGGTTTCAGTATACACTGAATCACAGAGCTGAACTCTAACATCCTTTACAGTTATTCCTAAGGTCTATCTAATCTTGTTTCTAATGAGCTTTGAGAGGAAAGAATGAACGTGTTTCCATGACAGCAAGGAACCCAATGAGAGAAGAAAGGAGTTACATCTATATTTAGAAGAGTCGTTACCTGAAAAGAATTTTCCCCAGCTTTCTTAAATTATTTTGCAGAAATAGATTAATCTTCCCTGTATATTAAGCTCATAGGCATCAAATTTTGCTCAAAGACTATACTAGCACCTTGCAGGAAATATGATGGTCACATACAAACGCCAAGAAATTTGGCAAGCTTCACCCAACTTCATTTTCAATACAACACAGACTCTACACAGGGCCTACACGGTGCTTTCACATACTTAACTCGTAGCAGTATGGTCCTGACACTGAACCATGAGTCACAAAAGTAAGCATACAAATAGGGTGTAAAAGAGTCATCAGGCATGGCATTGATCTAAACTTGACTGCCAGACTCAGAAGGGACAACAAAAATTATGAGGATTTCAAAAGTGAATTTTAAATGATTCCCTCTATTTACTGGTTGTGGTCACGATGGGTAGTGGTTTTGTCTCTGGGGGAAGGTAGGGAGAGAAAAATGTAATGCATTCTACAAGAACTGTACATAATAGATTATTAATTTGAGTTTTAAATGGTTGCATAAAAGACCTTGAGTTATCAAGATGAAGAACATTACTGAAATGTAAATCTGTATTGAATTAAAGATTCTTTGCAGACTTGATCACTGTTGTGAATCCTGCTACAAAAAGAACAAGGATTAATTATATCCTTTACTGAACAATAAAAAAGTCACCTAGTTTAAAGGCAACACAACATTCAGTGATGACTACTGATGGAGTTCCATTTTTGACACAACACTATGATGCAGGTATCAAATAATTTACCTTGAATGTAGCAAAGGCATCAGAAGCTATATCAAACGTTGACATTTCCACATATTTGAAAAAGTCTCTGAACTGTTCCGAAAAAAGTATTATTTTGGCCAAGGGCTCATGCCGGATGCACTCTCTCAGCATAATTCCACAGCGTAAGGCAATATTTGGGGATTCATATCTGAGGAATGAAAAGAAACAAAAAAAGTCAAAATCTGAAAGAACAAAGATAAATGGGCACTTTTCCAGCAACTTTGTAGCATTGAGAACGCATGTGCCAGAGGGGACACAACACATGGGGAGCAGCTCCCAGCCACAGCACTGGACCCCGCTTCAGGACCTCAAACACACAGATAAGGCTGCCAGCGTTCTCTATCGCAAGCCTCTGCCTTCCCAAGCCAAAACACATTTTGCTGTAAATGCGCATAACACCTCCTCTCTGCAGAAAGACTGTGGGGAGCACAGAGCTCCTTCACCCTTTTGGACTGATGAGAAAGCAAAGCCCATACAATATAACAACTTCCCTTTTCAGATTTAATTCTGAGTTCCTCAGTTTATCCAAGAAAAATATAACAGCTCATGACCATCCATCACCTCCCACTCTCCTTCTAGAGAACGTTGCTCTAGAATATTAATGTCTACTGAGGAAGGCAGGAAGAGTCTACCCAGGCAGTCCTCACAGGATTAAGCATTTCTTAGCTGTCAAGATCTTTTTTGCAGTTTAGGAGGAATTCTGCTCAATCCCTTCTCTGCAGAGGCTACGACTTTGTTCAGGAGACAACTATTCATTCCCCAAGTCACAATCCTGTGCTGTCAGAAGGACTGTAATAGCAGGAGCCAGCACACTTCTTCTTGGAAAGAGAGGGGAAAGGGAAGGCAATTCAGATCATCCTGTATTTCTATAAATGTATTTAAAGCTGAAATTAATCTGAAACAAAACTGTTAAAAAGAAATTTTTTTTTTGTTTAAAAAAGCATGAAATCCAACAGTCAGGAAGAACTTAAACTGAACTTCTTCCAGCAATCTTCAGTCATGTGAAAGTCATGCAGTCCAAGGGGACAGAAGGCACGCTCTGTTTCAATAAGCTGATTATACTATATCAGAACTGTGTATTATCACCCAGAGCTTATCAGCATCGCTTCTCCTTTGCACAATTAATTCCTATCACTAGGCCAAAAAAAAAAAAAAGAAAAAAAAAGAAAAACACAAAATGCCATCTGTGCTGTAAGTGAGTGGGCCCTCAAATTTACCACCAGCTTGCAATTTAAAAGAATGGTAGTGTTTTGTGAGCATACCAGAGCTGCGTGCTTCAACCTGATGTCAACAATAGCTGGCTTAATGAAAAATGAATTGCCATTCCAAACAGGCAAATGAAACTTCCCACCCTCAAGGAAATGCAGGCACTCAAGTCCCTATTTGTTTCCTCTTGGGAAACATTTGCAAATGTGAATTTATAACTCTTTAGACAATGGAGATTCGCTGATGTTTTCCGTTGAGGCATACTTCTCCTCCTCTCCATTAACAGGTATACTATTGTCAAGCAAAAAGAGGCGGAGTTGCTCCTAGGAGAACAGCCAGGAAAATATTTAATAGTTGGCTAAGGAATATTTTGGTTGGAATAAAAGCAAATTACATTGTTTCCAGCACAATAACTTTTTAAAACATAAGTATCAACAGAATCAGTCAAATGCTCCATTATCTGGAAGTGGGTTATGGACTTTTGGCTGGTCACATAAGCGAGGAAAGTTGGGTTTGGCTCCTGGAATATGCCTGGAAGATGTTTACAGTCTGCCTGGTCATAACGGGCATGTTCCGTTATGCACCCACACTTACAGGCAAAGCCTCCAGGCAGGAATGACAGAGATGTGTTTCAAAATCTTCTCTAATGAGCAATTAGTGCTCTATGCTGATGTACTCCTGCGGCAGAGAAAAATATAGAGGAGTTCTCTGTTCAGATGAACTTACAACCTGAAGTAACTCCCACATACTGACTACCAGGGGCAACCAGAAAAGGAAATAAGGGACTTGAAATATTTCAATATACTTATTGTGGAGGCTGCAAGAGGCAAGACTGAGAGCAGAGATGCATCTCAGCGCAAAGGGAATCATACATGTGTGGCTACCACAGGAGATGGTACTAGGTAAGGAGCACAGGCAGGAAATTAGAGAGGCATCAAGCCCAGGAGACACAAGCCCTTCACAAGCAGCTATATTCAGATCTGATTTTACATTAACTTCTATAGCTTGGGTTTATCCTTGGATAAGGAGTTTATGCTTGGGTAAACTCAAGGGGAATTCTGCAACTTCAGCCAATAAACCATTGAAGCTTTAACTGCACTGTGATATGAAGAGATCATCACAAAACAGATTGGTTCAATGACTGAGTACATTAGATAGCATGTGGCATGATATATATTCACAAAAGAGCTTATAAATCTGTCACTTGTGCAAAACAATGCAAGTTCCACAAACTTCAAGTCCTCTACAGTCACATTACTAGAGGGAAAATATTTTCAACTATAAAGGACCAAAGTTATTTCTGGGTTAATGCAATACACTGACTCCAGAGAAAAAACTTGGCCCAAATATTTTCAGTACTCTATATACACCAAACATTGTATTCATCTGAAATCCTATTCATACACAAAGCCTGCACACACAGAAAATAAGATACTATTAAAGCCAGTCCTCATGCAGCAGGATGGTCAATTAACCTACAAAAGAAAAAAAAAAAGGTAGTGAAAAAGTGCTGTGTGTTTTTCTGAAGCTGAGATGCTGGAAGGAAGTAGCCACCAAGTAAAATGAAGCCTAAAAGGTAAGAACAGTTATCTCAAGCTGGCAGTGCTGTTGGAGTATTAGGCAGGAAACCCTGGGCGGGAGCTCTGATTCAGGATCCTTCCCACTCAACAGAGCTCACATTATGCAATGAAAAAGCAACCTTTTGTTGATGCTGTTGCGAACTGACTGTCAGGGGGCAGAGGAAACTTTGCATCCAATACAAGTAAAACAATGATGAGCCTTCACAATAGTCTCAGGCTGCTTCTTTTATAGTCATGGTTGAAATTTTTTTTTCCTCTCTCCAAATAATGTCACATAACAAACACTGAATGGTACAAGCCAGCCAAATCCACTTTCCATTCCTTTAGGCAGAATTTGATTTAAAATATTTCATTTAAGCTTAAATAAATACCAAAAAGTGTCCCCAAGTCATGTTTTCAACTGGAGGTGTCTAACACGAAGCGTGCATTTCCCAGTCTCATGACAGAAGCACCACATGCAGCCTGTGTGCAGCGAGGTGCATTTTCAGGGCCCTAACCTTGCTTTAGGCCTGTATAAGTATCATTTTTAGACAGTCCTGGCAGCAGGACACAGGCAAGTAAGGCAGCATTGTGTTTGACGTCATTACACTGCTCTGCAGCAGCAGCTCAGGTACCGTCAGGGCTGGATAGGATGAATCTGGACTGCTGCTAATGAATTCAACAGCACTTTTTAACAAGAAACTCCAGAAATGACCATTCTGATACAGTGCAGTGCTGAGGAGAGAGCGCCAAGAAATGAAGACCAAGGAGCCAAAGACCCAAACTAACACAGACGCACTGCTACATGCAGCAGCAATCTCCAAAAAAGCACCTGAGTGATGCCATTTAAACACATCCACTGGCTCAGGTCACCTACAGTAAACGGTCTGTCAGCAGTACATATGCATAACAAAATCTTTACTATCATCTTAATATTCTTGGTTGTGGCAGATGCCAAAGAATATCTGGGACATGATCCAAAAATATTTTTTAGCCTTAAATAAAGCCCAGACATATGGTAGCGATACATGCGCAACATGCGAAAACAAAATGATTGAAAAAGTGAGGAGGAGATCATAAAAGCAAAGACAGAGAAGACGGAAGAAAATGATTGTATCTACATATGAAACTGAAAACAGTTGCACAACTTAATGGCTGAGAGAATTATCATCACTGTCCTGAAACAACTAGTTTGAGGTTTATATAAATGGCGAATTTTAATGAACAAATGAAACCAAATCCATTTAACTAGCTTACTGGTTTCCTTTCTGAGGAGGCTGGTGTTTAGTAACACAAAATAAGTCAAGGGTTTCAAAATTAAAAATAAATTAACTATATCAACAATTAACTATACTTGTAAAGCAAGACCGAGCTCAGCCCAGTCACCTACCCTGCCTGCAACGAAGACAGTGGGTGCAGACCTCCTCCTATTGCAGCAACCAAGAGCTTTGCCACCACGTTCAATCACAAGCTCACAGGTCTTGAAATCCGTGGTGTTGACTAGTTCTCTTGGTTACTTTTTCTCCTACTCAGCTGTGCTGGAACATGGCCAATTTTGAAGGAAATAACTATTTTAGAGGACTTCCGTGCTTATCCCTCTCCTGGCTCCGGTCTAGCCCTGGGAGAGGTTGAAGGGAATTTTACCCTTGGGGCTGCAGCCTTGTCATGTACAAACTTCAAATGGTGCTTAAGTATTTTCCTAATTCTGGCTGTGGAGCAAATATTAAAAATGCAAATCTTAAACCTCAAAAGCAAGAAAGACATTAATACAAAATCATTCTCTTATGAACCATTAGTTCAAAAGGCTTATGTCATGTTTTTGAATGACTCTTTCTAGTGTGACCATACAGCTACTATGAGAGTCCATGTTGCTTCCTACTGATCAGCTAATAAATGCCCTTATTTCTACATCAGTTCTTTAATCCCAAACACATATATTCTCTTTTCCTTTGGGGGAAAGAGAATCCTGAATTTTGGCTTCTTTGGCTTTTGTAAACCACAGAAAACTGAGTAGAAAACAGTAGACTTCAAGGGTTGGAAAAGCAAAGTTTCTTGCTGAACAGAAGGTGCTTTTAGCCAAAAGTAAAAGGGTCAGAAACCTCAAGAGTTTTAGGCCAACACTCATGCACTCCTGAATCCAACTACAGCTGCTGTCCTCTCCATATGGCAGTCTACTTCCCCTCCTTGGCCAACTTACCTTGGGAACCACCAGGTTACAGCTGAGCACTGACTCCCTCAAAGGTTAAAAGACCAATAAAAAGATTTAGTGCTGAAAGTTTTGGAGTTCATTACGGAATTAACTTAAAGTTGAAGTTCACATGTGGCTACAGCCATTGGAGAAGCCTGTCCCACAGAAACAACCAATCTTCTTATGCATTTTTACTTCTCTCTGTTCTGCCACACAGTGGTCCAGCATTTGACTCCAGTTATTTACAAACAGCACTGTAAGTCATTCCCACAATGCAAAAATGTCTAAATGAAACTCAGCAGTTGTCAACAATGCTACACAAGAGTTTAGGGCAAGAACTGAAGTACACATCACGTGGGGAGTAGTCAGAAACAATCAGCACATAATTATTCCAACATGAAGTTAGGTGAAGAAATAAGGGACAAATAAAATAATCCAGTCATTAAAAAGTATACACTTAAGTAGAAGGAAAGTCAATATGAAAGAAACAAAATAAAATCTGGAACAAAATCTGAAAACGCTGGTTTTTTATTTATTATTTTTTAAACTAAAAGCAAGAAAGTAGACCAACTACAATGCCACCATTTTCTAGAAACTGCTCTTTAATGAACATCAAATTAAAGCACTCACCCTTTTAGAAGCATGAATAGGATATGTGGATGGGCACTAATGTATTCCACAGTAGGGCTGCGTGTGCCAATCTGTCTTCTCAAGATGTTGTTAAATATCTGGGAAACGTCCTTTTTGCCCTGTTAAAGAAGCAAAATATATCTTCAACTGAAAAAAAACATGAACAAATGGCCATTCAGTATAATCTCTATTTAAAGGGGAAATGAAATTGAAAACAAACAAGGCAGTCTCTTCTTCAGGCTCTCCACAGTCCCACCACCTCGTACTTTGTTTCTTCAACGCCACAAGAGGACGTCCTCTGTCAGGTGGCTCTGAAGACTACTGATCTTCCCCAGCCATTTACACCTTCCTTTTTCTAAATGAAGATCCTTATTCTGTCAAGCAAGTCCCTGGCTATCTTAAACAGCAACATTAAAGTACCAGAAAATCAAGTCACTGCCCTGAGCCAAGCATGCTTTCGTAGTGTATACTATTGCTCCCACAGCCTCCAAATTTAAGTTGCCAAGCTAGTACCAAGTACACCACCCCACAGCCTAGCCTGACAAAGCTAAAGCTTTTCACTATTCAAATGTAATCAATGCCAAGCATGATTATCTTTTTGAAAATTTGGGTTCAATTTCAAACTATGTCCATTATTTCACCATGACAAATGAAATAATTACTACTGATAGAAAGGTTGTGTCACGTACATGTCTCTGCTTCAGTCACAACTAAGAAAGGAAAGATCTTTCACTTTGTTCCAATTTTCTTCTATATACACACATCTGCACAATCATGTTTTGTCTTTGAATGCTTCCCCATGCAAACAACTTTTCAGAAGGCCCTTCCAAATTATGTTCTTTTCAACCATAGGGTTTGCCAATACATCTTGCATTCCCTCACTGCTTTCTCCCCTCGCCACAGGAGACAAGTGGATGTGTGAAATCAATGGAGGGGGGAGACAGCTGCACTAGTGACCAGTAACCAAGGCACTGAGTCAACAGCAGGTCACTATGCACAGGGAAAGCTAAAGCAAAAGGTTACTTATAATCTGTACATGCTCATTGATCTGCCTCAAGAGGACAGACATTCCTTGGCAGAGAACTTACTGAGCGTTTCAAGCCAAGGAGCAGATAGTTTCACACAAATTCCCTGGTTTCACCTCTACAAATAAATCACTGCTAAGAAACACAAAATATTCTGCTTTCCTACACGTTCCAACCCAGCTGGCTTGGAGACTTGAGGACTCGGGGAATTAAATAAAAGAATCAAATCAGACCAGACCAGGCCAGGCCACCTGCCTTTGTCTGCCACACTGCTGACCCTTGGACATTCTCTTCATTAAGCTAATTCTTTATAAAGACATCCCACTCTCCACTATCTTTACAACACCCATAACGTATGTCTGGAATCTTGTGATCCCCAGTGGCTTCAGCAGTTGCTCCAAGACAAAAACAGTCCAGACTGAGAAGAGCTGTTGAAAGGGAGTGGTGAAAATGGCCAAAAATTAAGTGATCCTTTCTGCTATGCCAGATTTTATATTAGTTACTTAATATTAGGTGTACTGCAGCATTGTATCCAATATCAGAGAGGAGATACAGACACAGACAGATAAAATAGCAGAGAGGAGCTATATGTATCCAATTATATCAAATTTTCTAGAGACAGTGATGGTGAAAGCCAAAAAAGTAGGTCTCTCTGGGTTCTCCTGGAGGGAACAGAGGCAGATGGGAGGGAACCAAGGCAGACTTCCCTCACCACCAGATATCTATAAAAATTGGAGGAATACTTTTGCAATGCTTCTCACTTGGATCTGCGATTCAAGTTTGCCTTATAATGAAATACATATGGCCACTGAAGCACAAGATAAGGGAGCAGAGAGAGAAAGTACGATGGCTAGACAGGAACAAAAAACGCTGCAAAGGATGCCATCATTTAAATAACGAATTCCATGACACCTACATGATAATTTAGCTCCTAGTTCAAGACAAAGTAAGGGAAAGCTTCTAACGTCACCAGACCTGGTCCTGTGCTTATTAACTGCCTCTTTTAGTGGCTTTACAGCTTGTGAACCTTTAGGCTTACAAGCAGTGAGTAACATCTTTTTTTTCAATTGACTTTTTCCGTATGCAGGCTTTTCACATTTCTTCAAAGTTCAACAATAAATTTCACATTTTAAATTTCCCAAAAATCCAGTTTGATCTTGATTCTGGGCTCCTGCTCAAACCCAACTCGAGTCCTTCGTAGCAGTATCACCAGCAAAATTACATCTTGTGTCTTGAGTGGCAGAAGCAATAAACCTGTGTTTTCCATAGCTGTGTGATGGATGTATGCAAGGACATGACAGCCCCCTACATACACACCTGCCCAGCCACATGTGCTGTAAGCATACCGACAGATGAAACACAAATGAGATAGGACTCGAGTCTCTGCTTCTGCCTGTTTGTAACTGGGGGCAATAACTCTGGTCTCATTCTTCTAAACAGCCATCAAGTTTCATGAAATCTTTGAAAACACATCTTAAAAAAGGGAAGTACAGCTGTGCAAAATTGGGATCAGCGTGGGCAGCAGGGTTAGTGAGGAGGAGACAGGGAGTCAGGACAAAATGAAGTAACCTACATAAAACATTATTCCCTTCAGAAAACAGATTTTCAAGTAATTTATGATTTTGCTTTTTAGCATGACACATGAATCAAAAAAATTAATTTGCATGTTATAAAGTGATTAAACTGCTTGTTCAACAAAGAAACCTAAATGCCAGCTGTGGACACCAATATAACAAAATGGAAGCAGAAAAACTAATGAACTGAAAAAGTCAATGGGAATATGAAGACAATAGCAAATGCTCCTTTATCTTCTCGTTCAATGACATTTTATCTCTACAGTTTTGCCAAAACCAGTACGTATAACCATTCTGCTAAATAGTTGAAAAGGTTTTATCATGGAAAAAATCTATTTTGCAATCAAAGTTATTAGAACTGTTTGTAATAACAGTAATTTAGCAATGCATTTGGTATTTGATTCAATGCCTGCATCTGAAAACTGGGTTCAGTATATCCAGAAATATTTTTTTGCCTGACAATACAGACTGTCAGGCAACTAAAATAATGCAGTAGTTTCCCTTCTGTGGTGGATTTGATTACAGTATCTTATCTTCTCCCCTTCTTCTTCTTTTCTTAAAAATAAATTATTGGATTTTTAGGGATTTGTAGGGTTTTTTGTAATTAAGACATTTAACAGTAACCAGAGATGGCAGGGAGAAGAAAAATGAAAGGATCTGAAGAAATTTTAGCATTAAAAAAAAATCTCCTGATCTTCAGACCTCAGGAAGAGCAAGAGAACTCCACTAACAACATTTTCAAAAAATAATACAGAATAAATAAATCGGTCCATTGAATCTTGGTTTTACTGGGATGTGGGGGAAAAGAGGAAAAATAAAATAGAAGTCTCCCATCATTCCTCCCTTTCATTCATTTACAAAATGGAAAGAAAAGTAGTAACAAATTACTTCAATATCATGAAAAATCTTCCACAAGAAAGTAAGTCCCACAAAAGGTGTCTCCGAGAACATCAGACGATCTCTCTGGGAAACTGATTTTTAAATTCAGTGGCTGCCCTGCCCTACACGTTGGTACTGCCCCTGCTTCAGACCTCAGCAGTGGAGGTTTGGTTTCAGGGAGCTGGAGATTTCTCACTGCTCGGAGATTCTCAGACACTTGAGACAATTCACCAGTGCCTGGGAGCCACAAAAATCCCAGGACTCAACAGCAGTCCCTGGGGACCAATATCCCAGCTGACCATAGACCACAGGAATACTATAATGACCTGCCAGTGACGATGTTTCTTCCCAGTTCCTGACAGTCAAATGTCAATAGAAAGGATTTATATTTACCCTGAACTACTGCAATCTTTTCTACCATAACTCTTATTTTCCTTATTTATAAGTTCAGTTGTCTTAGTAGTTGTCTACCAAGTTCTTGGCTTTAATAACAAAACTGGCAAGGAGTTCCATGAAATATACAATTATTTTTGTATGTCATTTTTTTTCCATTTTAATCTTTCTGCTTGCAAAAGAAAGTTACATTCCTTTCTTCTTTCAATCCAAAGAGCTAAGTGGAGGCAGCCCAATTTACCTTGCCACCTGCTGTCAGTTTTTAACACCTTCTTCAACAGCTTTCATCCCATTTTTTTTTTCACATGAGATGTTCCCATGCTTCCAATTATTTTTATTCCATGTCCCTGGACTCTTCAGAGACAGCAGTTGGCTCTAATTGCACTCTCCCAATGTAAGAGGTTAATTGCTGCAGCTTACAAAGTCAGTCACATACAGTGATCTCAGCATAATTTCTTATCTTCCTGAGATACACATGGCAATATTTCTTTCTTGTTTTTGTTTTAAGAAAATCAAGAGTTAAATCAGATGCATTGCATTTACTTCCAGTATACAAGTACACAAGTCAGGACACTGACCAATCTATACCAGCTACTTTCTTCAGCGTGTGAAAAACAGTTTTGAATGCAATAAATGTATTTAGACTTCAGAAAAATACAGCTTTACTCACTGACAACACTGAGACCAAGGAGGTGAAAAAGTTTATGGATTGACCTACCTCAAAATCTATGAGCTGCAGGTTGGCAATAAGCGTCACGAGAAGGCCACTGTTGTACAGCTCCTGCGCCAGCTGAGCCACAATTTCTGTAGGTGGCTCCTTGTCCGTGGTCCCACACAGAATTTCCTTCATTGCTTGCAGAGATTTTGACACTTCCTCTGATGCCTGTTTGCCAGCAGATAAGGGTGTTTAAAAAAACGAAAGAAAAAAGTGTTTTATTTTAAAAGACAAGCAGTTCAAAACAAAAGCTCCTAACTGTACCTGTGATGATTGTTATCTATTGCAAAATAGTTTCATAATTTTATGTAATCACTGAGGCTGGAATGTCCACACCAGATCCTGCACATCCTACACATGCACACAGATACATTCAATCTGAACATGGCATGCCATCATATTTGTTAGCCAATGACAGGACAAGGGGCAATGGGAGCAAGCTGGAGCATAGGATGTTCAATCTGAACATGAGGAAAAATGTTTTTACTGTAAGGGTGACAGAGCACTGGACCAGGCTGCCCAGAGAGGTCGTGGAGTCTCCTTCTCTGGAGACATTCAAAACCCGCCTGGACACGTTCCTGTGCGACCTAGTCTAGGTGATCCTGCTCTGGCAGGGGGGTTGGACTGGATGATCTTTCGAGGTCCCTTCCAAATCCTAATATTCTGTGATCACTTACAGACCACGGGAATAAAATAGGGTCAGGAGTGCAATGCAACTACCAACTGGCATGAGCAAGACTCTTCACAGGTTTGGAGACAGGCACTGCCCTGTAGAAGCAGCAGCACTTTCACCATTGCTCCCCCATCTTCCCCAGTGGGCTCCATCGACACACACGGAGCAAGAGGTACCAGATGGAGGTCCTGAAACTCCTCCCATCGGCAAGGTGATAGACTGTCCTGCTCCTCTACTGGTAACCCAAATAAAACCTTGTACCTCTTCCAGCATTGCACTGCCACTGCTTATTTATCCTCATTGCATATGCTCCAAACTAGCATCTTCTGCAAGGGATGTGCCTACTGAGTGCACAGGCACTTCAGTCTCAGGTTGGAAAATTAATTAAATTAAACAATTTGCTTTGTTAAAGCTCCACAGCTGCCACCAAGCAAACTAAAACAAGTCTTTCACCTTTTGCTCCCACCTAGCTTATACTAATTCCTTGCAATGTCTCAGGTACCTAAGGCAGAGGACAAATCAGGAGTTACTTCATAAAATATCTTGACCAGAAATCTTACAGCAGAAAAATGAAAAAGAAACTCGTATAAACAGGTAATAGCCTGGCATTCGTGGCAGTCAGCAGATTTCAATCAGATGGGAATGATAATGTCCCGCTTCCCAAGGGAAACAACCGCTGGCCACAGCACAGCAGCTCTAGCTCATGGTCTCCTCCCAGGTTTGTCTAAATAAAGACCCCATGGAGCAAAGTCGTATTGTAACGTGTATATGTGTGCTTTAAATCCCACCTGATCTAGCCATGGGGCTATGGAGGCAATGGCTCTTTCTGGGTCGGGGTATATTTAATACACGTGTGACCTGCAGCAAGGCTGGTTGGATTTTTTGGCAGAGAGTGGGAAGAAAGTAAGGGAGAGGTTTGAAAGCAAAGCTGAGAATGACAGGAAAGTGCCAGGCAAGATGTTTAAAGATGCTGAAGATAGGACAGCATTTCATATCTATATTGCAAAACATTTATTTGAGATGAGCTTTAGTTAGTCTAGCAGGGAGAAGGGGGAATAATCAAGACATATACAGAAAACCCAAGAGTCATTTGTAAAAGTTAACTGGACATCAATGGATGTTCAAAGCCAGATCAATAATTTCAATGTATCTCTCACATACACTGAAAGGAAAAATGTCATGCTTTCAAAAACCACCCCATCAATCTGCGCAGAATAACCCCCGAGTGCTCCAAAAAGGCATCTTTCAACTGCTGCTGATCCCCAGCACTTAAATAGTGATTTAAATCACAGATTTTATTTACATTAGTGAACAAAGTCCTACAAAAAGCCTAGAAATCCTGAAAAAACCCTCAATAGAAAGCCACTTTCACATTGCATCTACCTGGAATATTCAAGCACTGATTTTGCACGGCACAAGAAAATGTTCTCCCCCAGTCTGTTTGTACCTGCTCTCAGTTTTCTGCTAGTTGAGATAGGTCAGCATGAGCGGCGTCTAAATGAATATGACTATTTGATAACTTTAACCACAGCAGAAGTCTTGTTTCCTACCGTCACTCAGCAAAAGAGCCTATTTTTACCTCAAATGTTAGCAGTATGTCACTAGAGATATCCCACAGAGGACAGATGGGATTAACAACAGGGGTGCTATCTTGGAAACTAAAGCTCTATGTAAGAGCTGTGCAAATATTTTTATATTTTCATATCAAAGGGAAAAACCCATATATTTTTTGGCTCTCCACCCATTCTTCTGGGCAGGGTGTGAATATTTCTGGCATTCTGTGATTAAAAAATAAAAATAAATACCTTGCCTTTCAAGTATAAGTAGCCCTTTGGGATATGTAGAAAAATGTCTGCAAGACACAGCTCTAGGTTTAATTCCCAAAAAGGAGGCCCAAAAGTAAAGCACTGCAGGAGAAAAAGAAACTACAGAACGCTGCGGTGTTGATAGGCACAACTGGGCACCTCAGCTGTATTTCTGTAATCATCTGCCATCCCATCCGCTCATCTTCTCGGCTTTTCTACGTACAATTTACATTTTGTGTTTAACTTCCTCTCCCTTCATATCCTCTGGACAGTCTGTGGTTTAACATTCAACCTGCCACCAAAAGCTATTCCCAGTCAAAGCAAAGGACCGCTTTTCTGTACCTATCCCTCATAATCTATCCGGAGGAAGAACATAATCCTGAACACAGATTCTTAAATCAACAGCCACTTCTAGCCTCCACTTTGACATTTCCACTTAATCTTATAGCAGTTTGTGGATAATACCGTAAGTACATAAGCACTGTTTCTGGGATGGAAACTTGCTCAGGACTCATGGTGGGGGGGGAGGAAAGACATTCCAAGATTCAAAGACCCAAGATCTGTCCAAAACAAACAACAAAGCAAATACATTCACACAAATACATGGAAAATACGAGACAACAGAAACGTAGCTGCAGAACAGTTTGTTGTAAGAAGCCAGACTGGTCCTGACCCTCTTTAGGAAAACTTGCAAAAATCAACTAAAAGCTCAGCAAGACACCCTTTCCTCCAATGATGCCACAGACAGAATTTCAGTGCCAAAAAAAAAAGGGGGGGGGGGGGGGAAGAAAAAAAAGATATAAACCAGAAAAAGAGATTTGCTAGAAACTCCAAAGTCTATTGTGACTTCTGTACTACTTTTTATTTTCCATCAGTGGCAACAGCAACAATAGCAAAGTGTTGGAGCTGTCACTTCAGCAGAAGTTACAGAGCAAAAGAAAAGGTTTCATGAAATATCTAAGCACTTTAAGCCATTTGCCTTGTTCTTGCAATTAAGCACAATCTTATTTCCAGCAGATTTTCCTTTCAGCCTCTGGGTACGAGTCCTTTACATCATGACTGAATTTTTGCCATTATATTTAGAGAAGCTGGTGTGAACAGAGAGGGGGGAAAAAAGGGGGAAGAGGATAAAACTAAATACAGAATCCTAAACAGAACAGCTTATATATATTACACACAAATGTCAAAAGTGGGATATGCTGAATTTTGGGTAAAGTTGCAGACTGAGACAACAAAGCACAAGACAAAATGCAAGCTGATTCCCAGCACACACATCAATTCAGCATTTACATTGCTGTCACTGCACAGAAGTCAGGATCTTGACCTCCTAAAGCAACTTGCAGGTTTCTTGTCTACAGGCATCTCAGCTCCCAACATCCAAACTTGGGAGGATCCAACTCCACCAGAGAACACTAAAATTCAGGGTGGGTACATGGGTAAGTCTCAAGTGAGTTACAAGGTTGGTTTGCAATAGCTGTGTAAGAGAAGTGAAGGAGAGCACATCCCTTGCTTGTGCAAGGGCAGCTGCAAAACAGTTAATTTTTTCTCTATATTCTGCAATTACACAAGACAGTTCAATAAGGAGTTTCTTGGGTTTTTTTCATTAAGGGATTTGCAAAGAAATCCTCCAAGTTTTAAAATGTTCTGTTCTTGTAAAATCTTCCAGAGAGATTTTAAAGAGTAGCATAGAAAGCTAAAACAAAGGTCTTTCATGCAGAAAGCTGAATTTTTATTTCTATAATTACATGAGTTGGGACTTTCCATCCTTAAAAGCTAAGCTGTTTCATCTGCAACACTGCTTGTACGTGATATAGCAAACTAAACAAAGCAGATCTTCTGCTTCAGAAATCAAAACTTCATACAGGCAGTTTTTTAAAAACCCCACAGCACACCACAGAGATACTTCACCAAGAGTCCTCAACTTCAGGAACTTAAAGTTCTAGCTATTCCAACTGGCCTAATAGAAATTACCTCTACTTACTAAACTTGCCCTTCCCCTCTCCTTAGGTACTTACAGCAATTTCACACTTATTTTAAAAGTGCCATATTACGTGCTCGTGATCGAGACCCATTATGTCTCTCTTTGACAGATAGAGATGGATCTCCTCTTATGGGTTGTAGATCCATTGCATCTTTTAATTCCTCTCCAAAGAAGATTACAAAAACGATTAGAGGAAAAGTATCAGGCCTTGAAAAATCAACACTCCAAACTCACACACCTGCACTGCAGCTTTTCAAAGCTTTCAGTGGATTGTCTCTATTTTACCTCTGTTTCACCAACAGGTTAAGAGGCTTCACACTTATGTACATACATTACATGTCAGAAGAGCTTTTTGTTTTATTAATCTAGGGACTTAATATGACATTTATGACCAACTAAAACAGTGAAGGAAAAACAGATTGGATGAACTTTTTCCACTTTTCCAAACTGAGATGCCTACATACAGGATGGCTGAGATCTGGCATCTGCATAGTGATCAGGAAATCCTAAATTGTTCATAAGAATACAGCTTATGTCTGTGTGCCTAGCATATTTCCAGGGCAAAAAACTAAACTGTTGCTTTCTTGCACAGTGGCAGACAGTAACACACACAGATGCCTGCCAGTGTGATGTTAAATATTCCAATGTGTGATTCAGTGAATTGCCAGTACTCCATGCTATATATTTCAACCAAAAGCACAAAGCTCCT